TCTGACTGTCGATCATGACGACAATGGCTCGGACGGCAGTGATTCCGAAAACGGCGGTTCGGAAAATGGCGGTTCGGAAGAATAGTCAACTTCCAGCGGTGCTCGCTACCGTACTCAAAAGCGTGGCGGTAAGGGTCTGCGAGATATCAAGACCACCGCGCGAAACGGTAAAGTCGTTGCTGTGGCTCGTGTCGATGATTCGGATGAAGTCTTGATGATGACCCTACGGGGCAAAATCCAGCGTATCTCGGCTGCGGAAATTAGCATGGTGGGTCGCAACACGCAAGGTGTTCGCATCATGTCAATGGACGAAGGTGATTCGCTTGCGGCAGTGGTTCGTGTGCCGAAGGAAGATACCGAAGACGAAGCAGCAGATGCCGAAACGCCAGTGCCAGACGCACCGAATCAGGCAGAGGCACCAGAGTCGCCTCAAGCCGATAGCGATGCTGCCGAGCAGGATAGTGCTGATCAAGATAGCGGCGAGGAGTAATCCATGTCGCGCGTTGCACTTATTACTGGAATCACCGGGCAGGACGGAGCCTATCTCGCCAAGTTCCTGCTCGCCAAAGGCTACACCGTTCATGGAATGGTTCGTCGTGGCAGTACTTTGCCATTTGAGCGAATTGCTGATTTGACGGATAAGATCGAATTGCATCAAGGCGACTTGCTCGATCAGATGGCCCTCAATCGATTGCTTGAACATGTTCAGCCGACCGAGGTCTACAATTTAGCTGCCCAAAGCTTCGTCCCGACCAGCTTCGATCAGCCAATCCTGACCGGCGAAGTTACCGCATTGGGGGTAACGCGAATTCTGGAAGCGGTTCGGACGGTCGATACGAACATTCGTTTTTACCAGGCATCTAGTAGTGAGATGTTTGGGAAGGTTTGCGAGGAGCCTCAGGACGAAAACACGCCGTTTTGGCCGCGAAGTCCTTATGGCGTCTCCAAGATGTACGGTCACTGGATGACAGTGAATTATCGTGAGAGCTACGATCTATTCGCGTGCAGTGGTATTTTGTTCAATCATGAGTCGCCCTTGCGAGGGTTAGAGTTTGTGACTCGCAAGGTTACCAATGCTGTCGCCAAGATCGCTCAGGGCGAGCAGAAAGAGCTTCGTCTTGGGAATCTTGATGCCGAAAGAGATTGGGGATTCGCTGGCGACTACGTCGAAGCGATGTGGTTGATGCTGCAAGCCAAGCATCCCAACGATTACGTTATCGCAACCGGAATCAAACACACTGTCCGCGAATTGTGCCAAGTCGCCTTCGAGCATGTTGGGCTCGACTGGGAAAAGTATGTTGTCGTTGATGAGCGATTCTATCGACCCGCGGACGTGAATACACTCTGCGGTGATGCCACTAAAGCTCGTGATGAACTCGGTTGGAAGCCGAAGACAAGCTTCCAAGAGCTCGTCCATATGATGGTCGACACCGATATGCAACGTGTTGAACGCGAGCTCAAGTGGGGCAAAGACTTCTCGTGAAGGCGCTGGTCACCGGTATCAATGGTTTTGTCGGTCAGCACTTGGCGGCTTACTTGCGGTCGTGCGGCGATGAGGTTTGTGGTACCTACGTTGGAAGCCAGCCATCTACACCCACCGACCTGAAGTGGGAAATTTCTCAGCCTGCGACACCTTCGATTATCGACACGCTTAAGTCGTTTGCTCCCGATGTGATTTACCATCTCGCAGCGATAAGCCACCCCGGCAGTTGCGGAGATGACTTACCGACCGAGCAGTGCAAAGCCGTTAACATTCTTGGGACGCGACACGTCGCAGAGCTGGCATTGGCGTTGCCTTCAGAGCCTAAGATTTTGTTCATCAGCAGCAGCAAAGTGTACGGCAGCAGAACCGCCGATCAGCCATGGGCTAAGGAGGATGACGTTCTGCAGCCGAAGGGTGGCTACGCTCACAGTAAGTGGGCGGCAGAGAATCTGTTGCGGGATCGAATTTCCGACGGGCTGAAAGTTATTATCGCTCGGGCATTTAACCATACTGGCCCCAATCAGAGCTCTATCTATTTGGTCCCAGAATGGTGCCAGAAAGTGGCGTCCGCTGAAGGACCTCAAGTGGTTCGCTCGCTGAACACGTCACTTGACTTGAGCGACGTACGAGACGTTGTCCGCATCTATCGGATGCTCGTCGAGAAGGCTCCGCTAGGTGAAACGTTTAACGTAGGCAGCGGGCAACCGGTCACGACGGCCGACATTTGGGACACACTTTGTGCGATTCGTGGACAAGTGGTCGAAGTCTCGGCGGAAAAGCTGGAAGCATCTCAGCAGCCGATTGCTGACGTGACTAAGTTGCATGAAGCGATTGGGCCACTTCAGCGAATTTCACTTCGGGAGACGTTGGAAGGCGTTTATCGCAGCGTGAAGGCAGCAGGCTAAATCGTTTGGGCCGCCAACGCGACACCACGCAAAACCAAGTGGTCAATCGTTTCGATCTCTAAGTCGATCCACGGTGCAAGATAATTGACGTCGCCGCCGCTAAAGAAGATTTGCGGTGGTTTCTTTGAGTCGAGTTGCTCCGAGACTCTACGAA